GATATTTTTGGCTTTTTAAATGTACATTTTGAGTTTTTGATTGCATAAGGACATTAGACTTGCCACTTGCATATTCACTATTTAGTGCTTTTTAGAACTAGAAGTCCTTTAACTAGTCAAACTTAATTATAAATTATAATTATACTTATACAATATAAATTCTAGGTACCTACCTACTTATCTTATTTGTTTTAAATTTTTACTTGGACAACGGAAAAATATCTTCAACAATACAATATTATATTATTACAGTACTGTATTTATTTATAGTTTGCTARTTTGTTTAAATCCTCTTAACATATCTACATAGTTAATTCTAAATATTTTAATTTTTAATAAATAATATTTGTAAATTTGTAATTTAAGTTAAAAACGAAGATWTTCCACCTTCTAGTATTGAAGAAAATGGTACAGAACATACACAGCATAATTATTTGATATGTCAAAATTATAATTCTGGTAAGTAAATATTTTTCTTAATTAGGAAAAATTTATTAGTTTTGGGAAAAGCTCAGAGTTTCAGAATGCATTTATATACTGAATTAAATTACCTATTATAAACATAAAAATATCCAAAACATTAACATATTTCAGTCTTTGTTATTACTTTATTATTTTATTAATTAAAATAAAAATTTCCTTTTAACTGTTTGACCTACAWTTTTTCTTCTTTTACAACTAATTTTAATCCACCTTTGAATGTTGAGTATTGAGTAATGTAAATTATGATTTTGGAGGTTAAATTTATCACTAAGAATTGAARTATATTTTTATTTAAAGCATTACACTAAAATTGAATATTCTTTGACAAAAATAGACAAAAAAACTGTTGCAATTCGMCCCATATTAATTAATATTTTCTTATTCTTGAATTCTTGATATTTAAAAAAATTAATAGGCATAGAAGGTAATATAGAAGAACGATTGGCTGCTTTAGAAACGGCAACTGATGGTACTGGTATGGGACTATTTCATGCTTTTAAAAATATTACTGAAAAATATGGTATAAATTGGCGGGAAGATTTGTGCGCTCAATCTTATGATGGTGCTGCATCAATGCAGGGAGAATATTCCGGGTTAAGAACGTTAATTCAGAAGGAAAACCCGAGAGCTTTATATATATGGTGTTTTGCACACCAACTAAATTTAGWRATAGTCGATACGTGTGATTGTTGTGAAGACACAAGGMATTTTTTTGGTGAAGTGCAGTCATTAGTAGCATACATGCGAGCAAGAAAAAGAACAGCTGTATTTGTGAATTGTCAAAAAGAATTGAATCCAACTGAACGAGTAAGACGGTTAAAGCACTTTTCTGATACAAGGTGGACATCGCATGGTCGTGTTATTGATGTAATACATTTAAAATATAAGGAATTATTAAAAACATTAAGTATATTRAAGGAGTCAAATGATAGAGTAACTGCTTCGACAGCAAAAAGTCTTATAATAACAATAACAACATTWGAATTTGTATTATCAATGATATTACTAAAAAATATATTTAATATTACAACTCCACTTTCCAATTATTTGCAAAGTAAATCGCTTGATTTTATACAAGCCTTAAAATTGGTARATTCATGWAAAGTAAAGTTAACAGGCATGCGTTCTGAAGAAGAATGTGATTCAATTATAAATGAAGCAAAATTATTTGCAAGAACTCATAAACTTGATGATGATTTACCAAGCGATTTTAAATCAGTGAGGATAAGGAAAAAAAAATGCCCGGTGAAAATACACAAGACCAAATTCCTGAATCGCCTATTGAAAGGTACAGAAAAAATACATTTTATAAAGTTCTCGATCAAATTATAATGTCAATAAATTCACGATTCTCTGATGCAAGAGACATTTTAAAGGACTTATTATGTCTTTTATCACCTGAATGATTATTAAAATTTCTAAAGAAAAAAAGCCACTTCCAGTAGATTGTTTTAATTATATTTCTAATTGGGTAAAAGGTATTGATACAGCAAGTTTAAGGTTAGAATATATTCAATTTAGTAGTAGTTTAAGTGAGTTACTAACTGGATTAAACTTGACTACTAAGTTACATGAGGATAATAATAAGTCCAATTACAATGAGCTACTTAATGCAAACATTAGCAGTGATGACGATGATGAAGAAATTAATGACATTTCTTTTGGCGAAGGAACAGAAAATGTAATTAATATTGAGACCATTCTTCATGTACTTTCTAATTACACTTTAGTGGCTGCTTTTCCAAACTTATATCAAGCTTTTAAAGCACTTGGTACAATACCAGCATCGTCTGCATCAGCTGAACGTTCTTTTTCAAAGGTAATACTTTCCCCAGATGACAAATTTTAGAATAAAATAAAAGAAACTTGAACTCTTTATTCACTTTTTTAGATATACGAGTATAATCTATAATATTATTATACAATATGTAATAACCAATTATGTACATAAATATAATATTAAATTATCTGTATACATTTATTCATTCAGGTCAAATTGATAAAAACAAGACTGCGGTCCACAATGCTACAGGAAAGGTTAGAAAGCCTGATGTTGATAAGCTGCGAAAGAGATATTTCCATTGATATAAATGAAGTCCTAAATATTTTTGGAAAATCATCTGATTTATTAAAGAAAGCTTTATTATTTAAATAAAAHCATTTTTATAATCTTAKATAATGGTTGATATTTTTTWAAATTAAGTATGTGTCCTATTTTGTATTATACCTTAAAACTTAATAATAATTATAATTTTTTATGAAAAAAAAAATAAAAATAAAAATAACGAAAAACCTGATGGTGGTAGGGACTAGGGTGGGTGGTCAAATTGTATAGTTTGCCTCAGGTCTGAAAAATGTTCTGCACGCCACTGTCGATATGTATCAGACTTTTACTTCGATAAGAATCGGTACATAGGTATGCAACAAGTTTAATTCTTGAAAATCATGTTATTTATTCATTTGAATATTATTTAATTGATTGTAAAATACAGTTTTATTGTTGTTGATTAATAGCCGTGGTGAAAATGGCCCGTACATACAAAAGAACTGTTCGCCAAAAACCTTATACCAAATACACTGAAAATCAAATTAAACTTGCTTTAGAAGATTTGAAAAATGGTTTAACCTTTCGGGCTTGTTCGAAAAAACATAATATTCCGACAACGGATCTGTATAGGCACAATAAATTWAAAAAATAATACCCTAATAAAAAAATGAAAAAACTAGGTGGCCAGAGTATTTTGTCATATGAAACCGAAAMATTTTTAGCTGAACAGTTAATTTTATGTTCAACATGGGGTTACCCTTTAACATCATTTGATTTGAGGTGTATAGTAAAGGCATATTTAGATAGAAAAAGAGTAACAATTAAAATATTTAAAGGTAACATGCCTGGCAGAGATTTTGCACTATCGTTTTTACAACGTCACAAAGATATTTTAAGTCAGCGACTGTGTCAAAATATAAAACGTGCAAGGACACAGGTGAGTAGAGAAATTATAAATTCATACTTTGATAATTTAGAAAAATCCTTAGATAACGTTTTGCCAGAAAATATTATTAACTACGACGAAACGAATCTGAGCGATGACCCAGGTCGAGTTAAAATTATTACTAAAAGAGGGTGCAAGTATCCTGAAAGAGTAATGAATTCGAGTAAGGCCTCGACATCTATAATGTTTGCCTGTACTGGAACTGGAGAACTCCTACCACCTTACACGGTCTACAAGGCAATACATATGTACGATTCATGGATTAGGGGAGGACCTCCAAATTCTAGGTATAATAGAAGTAAATCAGGGTGGTTTGATGTTCAATGTTTTGAAGATTGGTTACTCAAAATAGTTGTACCGTTCGTTAGAAACAAACCAGGTAAAAAAATAATAATTGGTTGACAATTTATCGACCCATTTGACTATGGAGGGAATTAAGGCCTGTTCGAAGTATAATATTGAATTTATGTTTTTGCCCCCAAATTCAACACACATCACTCAACCGCTTGATGTTGCTTTTTTTCGTCCCATGAAACAAGCTTGGCGTAGCATTTTAACGACACGGAGATTAGGTAAAGGTAGTAGAGAGTGCTCTATACCTAAAGACCAATTTCCGCAACTGTTAAATACATTAATGAAAAAAAATGAAGGAAATCAAGTTGATAACATAAAAGCGGGCTTTAGAAAATGTGGAATTATTCCTTTGGATAGAGAACCAGTCTTAAAAATGCTTCCTCCTGAATCAAATGCGAATGACAGTCTTGAATCTGAGGCTGAAGTAGTTAACGATTCATTAGTGTCAATTCTAAAATGTATGCGTTACCCTAGCACTGAGAAAAAGGCACCGACAAAACGACAACGGATGAAGATTGAACCGGGTCAAAGTGTTGAAGTTGACAATCAGGAAGTTAGTAGTGACAGTGAAATGTCGGTAAATGAAGACGACAATATAAATAAATCAGATAATGGAAATACCAGTTCTGAAGATGGAATTCTAATTGGTTCAGATTGGGATGGGTCTGATGAAGATGAGGATGAACCTGAACAACCTGCCACTAACATCGAAAGAAATGGTAAAGTTTTGAAAGGCGTGTTTAAAATTACTAAAGTACTGAAAGTAAATGATTGGATAGTAGGAGATTTCACGAACAGCACTGCATCAAAACAATGCTCAACAAAAACAATTTTATTTATTGGTACGATTTTGGAAACAGAAAAAACAAAAGTAAAAGTATCTTTTTTAAAATATCGTCCAACTAAATTAGATTCGGGAAAAATGTTTGTTTTTCCAGAACATGAAGATATTTATTGGATCGATAAAACTGATGTTGTGGGTATATTAAAACATCCAGAACTCAAAAGAAGGGGCCTTATGAAGTTCGAAATTGATTATAATGAATGGTAAGGTGTACACTATGTTYGATAAGTTTGAAACTGAAGTTCCTGAAGACATTTTTAAATAATTTTCTTACGTTTATAAAAAATGTTTTATTGTTAACTATTTAAGTTTAATTTTGTTTAAAATTTAAGTTTATAAAGGTTATATTATATTCTGTTAATTCAATATTAGTTTGTTAAAATGTAATTTGTTAAAAATTGGAATTTAAAAAGGTAATTTAATATGTCAATTTTAGTTGAAGTTTGTAAAACATTTTATTTTTAAAAAGTTATGACGTATAATTTTCATTGACCTACCAAAACGCTGTCAGCCGATATTAAGGATAAGTATTCCAACCTTGCGCTAGCGGACCCATCGTTCCATGTATCGTCCCCTATTGATTTGTTGTTGGGCAGCGACGTTTATGCGTCGATTATGGACGGTCGTAAGATTTCTGTTGACGGCTCGCTACCGTCTGCTTTCAGCTCTATTTTCGGTTGGATTTTAATTGGCCAAGTGTCTGTTCATGAGCCAGGTCCGTTACACTCATTGCCAATTTCGTTAACCGTGTCTATTGAAAGTCTCATGGAAAAATTTTGGCACGTTGAGGAGCCGGATGTAGCTCCCGCAACGTTCACTGAGGAAGGGCAGTGTGAACAATTGTTTGTAAATGAAACAGTGCGCCTACGCACAGGTCGTTTTTCCGTTCCGTTGCCGTTCCGTGTGCCAGTTTCGGACGAATTGTTTGTTGCGTCCCGTGATATTGCGGTACGGCGTTTCGAGTCGCTGGAACGCAAGTTGTCCGCGGATCCGTTATTAAAATCGTTGTACGTTCAATTTATGTCGGAATATATTTCGTTGGGACATATGTCGGTAGCTACTTCCCCGGGTTGCTATTTCATTCCGCATCACGCGGTGTACCGCCCGGAGGTCGATGTTAATAAAATTCGTGTTGTTTTTGACGCTTCCGCGAAATGTGGCCGTGGACCGTCACTAAATGACTGTTTGCTCCCCGGGCCTAAATTGCAGCAAGACATCGTAGATATCCTGACGCGTTTTCGCGTACATAAACATGTTTTTACAACCGATATATGCAAAATGTATCGGCAAGTACTGATTTTGCCAAAATATCGTAAATTCCAGCACATTTTGTGGCGAGCGTCACCACATGACAAATTGCTCGAATATGAATTAAATACTGTTACGTACGGCGTGAATTGTGCGCCGTATCTCGCATTGCGCGTGTTACAGTCGATTGCTTCCGACGATTGCACCGATTCCGAGTGGGTGCGTAACGCGTTGACGCGCCAAACCTACGTAGATGATATATGTGACGGGGCCGACACTATTGTTGATGTACTAAAGCTCCAATCCGATTTGACTTGTGTGTTAAAAAAGTGTGGAATGAAAAAATGGTCATCGAACACTAAGTCAATTTTAGATGCGGTTCCGGCCGCGGATCGTGTACAGACACCTACACCGTTCGAAACGGTCGACTGTCAGGGTACCAAGGTGTTAGGTCTAGAGTGGCACCCCGACGGTGATTATTTGTGTTGCGCGCTAAGCCTTGAGCAATCACCCGTATACACCAAACGTGGTATTTTGTCGTTAGTAGCTCGAATTTTCGACCCGCTTGGCGTGTTCGGGCCTGTTGTGTTTTTAGCCAAATCTATTATGCAACGAACTTGGCTTCGTGGTTTATCGTGGGATGAACCACTCCCTGCGGATATCCATGACGAATGGGCCACCTTTGTTTCTGATTTACCATCTTTACTATCGATTCGCGTTCCTCGACATTTTAATTCGCATCGGAGCGCACCGTGTTACTTATTAGGTTTTTGCGACGCATCGCAACGGGGCTATGCGGCTGTGGTGTACTTGCGGGTGGCGGATGTAATTGTAGGGGACTCCGTATTTTTGGTAGGTACGAAAACTAAATTAGCGTCAACAAAATCAATGACTATTCCACGTCTCGAATTAAATGCCGCATTATTGTTGGCCCGGTGGCTTAGTCGCATCCGCAATATATTAACGGCACAACTTAATATTGTTGATATTAGAGCTTGGTCGGACTCGATGATCGTGTTATCCTGGTTAAAGGCCCCGCATGAATCAATTAAAGTGTATGTATCTAATAGAGTGCATCAAGTTCACACGTTATTACCCGATTGTCGGTGGCAGCACATTGAATCGGTCAATAACCCCGCCGACTGCGCGTCACGTGGTGTGATGCCGGCCGTGTTATCGCAGTTTGATTTGTATTGGCGTGGTCCACAGATCGTGTACAACGACCCGACGACTTGGGACGTATCCTGTCCGTCTCTTCCGCTTTGTGATTTACCGGAAATGCGACCTGTAGTTTGTACCACCCTCATTGCCGACGGACCTAGTGAATGGTTCACGCGATTTTCAAATTACGATCATATGTTGCGTGTAGTCACGTTCATGCGTCGTTTCATTGCACTTTGTCGACGAAGGATTGTTCGTTGCGATGGTCCCATATATTTGCGCAAATGTGACCTGGATGGTGCCGCGCAGGTGTTGATTGTTGAGTCACAGCGTGTGCACTTTTCCGCGTTACTCCGTGAGTTATCGGCTGGTACACGAGTATCGTCCAAACCGTTAGCGCGATTGTCGCCGTTCATTGACCCCGACGGTGTGATCCGCGTCGGCGGTCGGTTACGTCATTCGCTAATCGCATATGATTGTAAACACCCCGTATTGTTGGCTAAGAGCTCGCATTTCGCCTTGTTGTTGTGCCGACGGTGGCATGTGTTGACGTGTCATGCTGGTCCGCGAGCTTTAACAGCGTTGATATCGCGTCAATTTTGGGTTGTATCACTCCGGTCTGTTTTGCACAGAGTTTTAGCAAATTGCACTATTTGCGTCCGATTAGATGCGCGGCCCATACAGCCCTTAATGGCGGATCTGCCTGCTGCCCGTGTGCGCCCGCAGCGCCCCTTCGATTGCGTAGGTGTCGACTACGCGGGGCCGTTGCAAATGCGTGAGTTGCGATCATTCGCACAAATGTCGTTATAAAAATCTAATTTTTTGTAACCTCCATGATAACATGTATAAGATTGACGACAAATAGTCGAAATGTACTTTGAACCGCCAAACGGTGCACAACATGTGCTTATTGTTTGGCCACTGGGAAGGCCATTGGGCGTTTGTGGTATCAAGATATTCGAAACACCGTTATCGTGATTATCACACAATATTATAATACTTCTGTATTTAAATTTTTATTTGTTTAATTTTAATTTAGGTTATTTATTACTTTATAATTTTAGAAATGGCATCCCATAATATTTTAGCAGATGATCATATTCTCCAACTACTAGGAGATGGTACAAATTCAGAATTATCTGATTTATCTGATGAAGATGATGAATATTTTCAATCAACAGAGTTTGATTGTTTATTGAACAATTTTGATGATGAGAATATTAATTTACTATTAGTTGAAGATGTTGATGATAAGGAAACTGAAATTGTTGTAAGTGATATTATAAGTTAGAGTGGATTATTAAGTTTTTACTGGAAGTAAATTATATTGTTTACATATTGTAGCCAGTGAGTACTGAACCAAAATGTCAACCACAAAATCAAGCACTGAGAAATATAACTGTTGATAGAACTACTGAAATTGAGGGAACAAATAATACAGTTACTAATGAAACAATTGAAACAAACACTTCTAGTCTAGAATATATAGAAAAGCGCAATATTCGATGGAAAAGACAGCCTTTTGTTCCTCCAAATATTGTTTTGAATAAACCTAATGAGCACACCTATCCTAATAGTATACCTACACCACTTGAATATTTTTTAAAATATTTCCCAGAAAGTGAGTATGAAATATGGCCAACTATACTAATACCTATGCTGAGCAAATAGGGAGATTGAATTGGAAACCTACTAACTCAAAAGAAATTAAAATATTTGTTGGTATTCATTTATACATGGGAGTATTAAATTTTCCTCGGATACGTATGTATTGGGAACAAAAAAGTAGAATCAAACTATTGCTGACAATATGACACGTAATAGATTTTTTGAATTACGATTCTGTTTTCATGTTGTTGACAATAACACCATTGCTACAAATAACATAGACCGATTTATAAAAGTTAGGCCACTTTATGATCTATTGAAAAAGAGATGCAATGAACTACCTGTTGAACAAAACATATGTGTTGATGAACAAATGGTTCCATTTAAAGGCAAACTCAGTGTGAAGCAATTAGAGATCAGCACGGGCCGTTTTTTTCCGCCCGATCCGGCCCAAAGGTTAAACATATAAATTGTTGACGTCCAGGCCCGGTCCGTTTGTATTTTTTTCAAATTCCAACCCGACCAGGCCCGTTTGTAATTTTTTCAAGTCCAACTCAACCAGGCCCGTTTGTAATTTTTTCAAAGTCCAACCCGACCACGCCCGTTTGTAAATAAAAATATACATAAACTTTATTTCCTTTCAGTATTGACATAGTAGACAAAAACATTTCATAAAGACAATACATTTATTATAAAGGAAAAGATATTAATTTTTATTAAAATTTAAATATATTATAATATATTATAATAATTACATTTTCTTTTTGAAGAAATCATTTAAAAATAAAAGGGAGTCAACAGTATCACCTTTAAGTCGTGTTCTTCTTTCTTCAATAATTCTTCCTGATGTGCTGAAAGACCTCTCACTTGCAGCACTACTAGCAGGGATCGCTAAAATTCTTGATGCAAGTTTAGCCATTAGAGGAAGTTTATCACTGTGTTCCTTCCACCATTGTAAAATATCTTGATTTTGATTATATGATTCCATTTGATAAATGTTCAGTTCATTGTTAAAATCATTATAATTGTCTGATGGCAAGCAATCATCCTTCCACTCAGAGAAAATATTATCCTCTTCTGATTGAATCGTTTCTTCAATCGGTACAGGTTCAGAGTGTTCAGACCGACTGCAGTTAGAAATGAGGTTGGATTGCAATTTTGATAACTCTATTTTAACTTTTTCAATAATACCTTGTCTTTCGTCTATATTTTCGACCATCCTCAGCTTTTTGAATGGTGGGCACAAAAATAAAGCCATACCATGATAAATATTAGTTTTAAATTTTTCTTTAAAAATAATTAGAGTTCGATGTGCTAAATTTTTAAATATATCGTCATATTTTTCCTCAGAGACTATACTATTAAGATGTTTTAATAGCTTAGCCCGATGAAGTAGCACAAGTTGTATAGTAGGTCTTATTGTACCTTCAAACTGATCAGATGCTTCTTTGAATGGAGTTAAAAAGAAGATCAATTTGGATAATAATGATTTGTTTATGTCATTCATTTTTCTATTTTCCGCACCATAAATTTTTATAAGTTCATCATACATATCATGTACAGCACGCAACATAGCCAAATTGGAATTCCATCTGGTTTCTACATGTTGAACTAAAGGTCTAGAAAGCAAATTGTTGTCACCATTTTTTTTCATATACCTAATGAGAGACTTAGAAGCAGATATTAGTTTTTCTATAGGACTAAAATCAACAGCCATACTTAACAATTCATTAATTAATTGATCCTTTGAATTGGTTTTTGTGAAATCAAATGTTGTTTGTAGAATATTATGTAAAATGTGTGCAGAGCAATTAAGTCGGTTGTTTCTATCCAATGCTTTAATTATGTTAGAACCTTTATCAGTTACCCATGTAATTTTTGAAAGAAAATTGTCTCCGCTTTCTTCATTATCTAACCACTGATTAAAAAATTGTTTTAAATTATTTCGTATATTATCTCCAGTTTTTTTTTGGTCATAAGGGAACTGTCCAACGTGCAAAACATTTGAATTAAGTTCCCAGTTTTCATTTATATAATGAATAGTGATAGAAATGTAAGATAGTTTTTTATAATCATCCGTCCACATATCTGTTGTGGCACTACAACGGTTTTCATAAAAATATGGCATAAGCTTCAACATTAATTTGTCACGCAACTCTTTTGCAGTTTTAATGGTATTTCAAGAAATTGTTGTTGGATAGGGTAGTAAACTATCAATATCTAGATGTCCATACTTTGCACCCAAATTAACTAAATATTGACCAAGTTCTTTAAAACCATTTCCATCCACAAACTCAAAAGAACGTAAATCCAAGCTACACATTTTCACACACTTTTCTACCATTTCATTCGCAACTTGTGTAGGAATATTTTTTTTCAATTTTTTTTTCAAAATAATTGTCAATACTTAATGTAGATCTATTTACTAATACACATTTATGCCTCTTTAAGTGTGATGTTCCATTGGATGCAGTATAACTTAAAAGTATTTTACATTTTGTACAACTTACAAAACCTGTATCCATTTCATTTTTATAAAGAACTTTTACAAACGACTCCCAAACACCACTTCTGCCTTCAACTTTACTTAAAATACATTCACCTGAAATAATTTTGCTCTGGATGTTTTTTTTTTGATTTTAATGGTTCAGRATATTGAAAGGATGATGTAGACGTAGAGTCACCATCTTCTCTTTCATTTGCATTTACATCATCTTCAATGTCTAAAAAAACAAATTCAATTTTAATTCAATTTAAAAATACATTTTTAGGTTGAATGCTTCATAGGGCTGAATTTATAAAATTTAAATGGTTTTCATACATTATTCTGTTATTTAACTATGTAAGAATTATTAATTTTTGTTTTCATTATTTTAAATATGTTATTATTTGTTCATAAGACTGAATTTATTACAATTAAATTTTTTTAATGCATAATATATTATTTATAATACTGTTATGCAACTATTATATTTATAATAATAATATTGTCTATTACTTTTTATCTTAAAGACTTAAAACATGCTATTATTATTATTTACAATTTTTAAATTCATAAGGCTGGATTTTATAATATTTATAATATTACGTACATTGTACAAATATAATATTTTTGTTTTTAGTACCTACAGTACAGTCTACAGTGTCTACTGTCTACACCTAATCATTAAAATCTTAAGTGAAATATACCTATACAATATAAATTAGTACATCTCCAAGTAAAAAGCTTTAATAATAATAAATTAATAAAAAACATTTATTTAYCTRACATTATAGACCGGACCGCGAGACCTGTCCAGTGTCCAAGTGTTCACCGTTCAACGTGTGTTAATTTAATATTGTTATATCTTGTCAGACGACAAAAAAAAATAAAAAGATTAAATATTTAAATGTAAAACACAATTGCACAATAATAAAATTAAAACTGTGAAGTATCAATTTTTGACTGGACCGTGTTCACTGTTCAGCGTGTAATTGTGTATTAATTGAATTTGAATGTTATGTCTTGCCAGTCGACGAAATAATAAAGATTAAATGAAAAACATAATCGCACAACAATAGCGATAAGTATTAGTATATAGTATTATTGGTTTTTACCAGTGATCTATTTATAAATATCATACAGTCTGGGAATACAATTATTATTATTAATTTAGATAACCTAGATCACATAGTGTTACGAATTAAATTAATAAGTTTTATTTTTGACCGACCCGGACCCGACCCGGCCCAATGAATAATATTACGATCCCACCTATAACMAATCCGTAATATTTAAATTATGGCCCGGCCCGTACCAAGCCCGGTATGGGTCGGGCTGGCCCGGCCCGTGCTGATCTCTAGAAGCAATACATGCGAGGAAAACCCAATCAATGGGGAATTAAATTGTATTTGTTATGCGGTGAAAATGGTCAAGTTTATAACTTTATAATATATCAGGGATCTACTACAGAAGTAAAACAAGATATACAAAAAAAATATGGTTTAGGTAGTGCTATTGTTTTACATCTTACAGATCTGCTTGAAAAAAATAAACATTTTTTATACATGGAAAATTTTTTTACATCGTTTAACCTACTTCATGCATTACAACATAAACAAATTTTAGCTGCAGGAACTATCAGAGTTAATAGATTTGTTAGTCCACCATTTTTAAATGATAAAGTATTATCTAAAATGGGTCGTGGGACTACATTTGAAGTAAGTTCTGATATACCCAACAGCAACATTGGACTAGTTAAATGGTATGATAACAAGCCAGTTTCATTAGGGTCAAATTTTATAACATCAGGCACTCCAGATGAAGTGTCTAGATATTGCAAAAAAGAAAAAAGATACATTTCCATAAAGAGGCCTGAAATAGTGAAACTTTATAACCAATCAATGGGAGGTGTCGACAAATATGACCAACTAATAAGTTTCTTTAGAACGTTTATGAAATCTCGAAAATGGACCTTACGAATGGTTACACATGCCTTTGATATGGCATGTGTAAACAGTTGGCTTGAATATAAAATGGATTGTAAGCATTTGAATATTGTTAACAAAAATATTATGGATTTACTGCATTTCAAAGAGCGATTAGCTGAAACTCTTATTTTGGTTGGAAATATTGTTATAAGGAAAAGAGGAAGACCAAGAAATAGTCCAGTTTCATTATCACCATCGCCATCATCATCACCGACTCCAGAAATGCAAAAAAAAATTATTAAAAGAATTGACCAGCGACCATTTAATGAAGTGAGGCATGATAATGTAGGTCATCTTCCTGATTTTGACAACTTAGATAATGCAGTCCGTTGCAAGTATGAAGGATGCAAGCCTCGCAGCCATGTGTTTTGTAAAAAATGTAAAGTCCACTTGTGCTTCACAAAAAGAAACAAATGTTTTACCTTATACCACAATAAAAATGAAGTTCCTACAGATTTGTATTTTTAACTTGTTTTTATTTTATTTTTACTGACCAAGGTTTGATGTTATTTTAATTTTTAATGTCTGAAGTTTAATGTTATGTTAATTTTTACTGTMAAAGATATGACTTTATTTTAATTTGTTGTTTTTATAGAATTATTAAATGATTTTCTTTTTCAAATTATATTTATGAAGGTTTTAAAGTTTATTTTGTTAAACAATTTATATATAATATAAATATAAATATTATTATAATTTAAGTTGTATTTGTTTTTCCATTTAATAATACATAAAACTGTAGATTTGTACCAAAATAAACGACAAAATGTTGACTACCTTAACGCCCAGTGGCCTCGTACAATGCCATGACTATAATTTATTAACCAGAAGTCCAAGATTCAAAAAATTTTTAATATACATAACAAATACTCCAAATGATCCAACAATCACAAAAAAAATAATTCGGGACTGAAAGGGTTAATAATTATTGAGTTACTGTAAGATAAACATGTATGGAATCTTGTATTAAATTTTCAAGTATTTTGTACCAGCGAAATTTTTTTTATCAATATTTATAAAATAAAAAACTAAGACAATGCCAATCCAAACAACTAATGAAAGTTCCAAGTATTTTTAACTTGTATAATTACAAATATCTAAAATTRTTTGAGGATAAATCGTTCTTTTAAACGATTCCGTAAAAATTTAATTTTCAGACGCTCACAAAATGTTTTTCTATTATGAATCGAGCTTATAGTTATTTGAAGGTAAACTTATGGAGAAACTTGTATTGAATTTTTTGACCTTAGGTATAAATGCTTAAAAAGTTATAAAGTATCTACAGTGTTTATAGGCATTTGAAAAAAAAAATCCACATTATTGAAAAAGCAATAATAATAAATTATAAATATTCATTGGTTATTTGCTCTGCTCTAAATCTAAAATAAAATGTAATGATCAMTTATTTGGCTCTTCATCACATGGTACGTCAACTAAAGTACTGCAGGTACTTGATGGTGTTTTCCTTTTGTAAACATAATAATATAGTTAAAAATATAGCCATACTTACTGTATTATATACATTTATATCTCAGGTATAAATAAATCTAAAGACAATAATTACTTTGATCCATCTGAGTTTGGAGTATTTTTTTCAGTCGCAGCGCTGCAGGTCGTCAAATTATCTTGAACGCGTTTKCTAAACGATGTTTAAATTTATTATATACCTACCAACCACCTGATGACCATACATTTTTACTTAGAAGTCGAAGTATAACTTACGTGATTTTATTTCCACCTTTCTTCTTCCTATAAGCCGCTACAGTTTTTTTTTTAACTCTGTACTTACTGCCCATAATAAATACTATTTACACTATATAATAAACACAAAAGAAGAGTGCGAAAATTGCAATAAAAATGAAAATACCAACCTTCGTCTTTCACTTCCTTCACTATCTGAATGAAATTGAATCGTAAATAAGAGTAGAATTGAATACGTAGCAAAAATAATATTTTAATAAGGGTTCAATCGTTCCGAATGAACGATTACGGATAATATTATAATATATAGTAATCCCGCTATAAATAACTTTGMGATAACGATGTCTRTCTAAATAGTTGGGTGGTTGGCGGTGGTACGCACGTCTGTCTACACTCACACTAATAATCATTTACGACTAACACATAGGTACCGGGCGGCGGCGACGAGCYTWCAAATTGCCTAAATGTTGCCCCTTATTAAATAGTCACGAGCAGGCCCCTTAAAATGCGTAGTGAAATCGTTCGGATTAATTAAAACGCAAAAATAAGCTCGGTAAGTATTTTATATTACAACGATGTTAAATGTACAACATAATGTTATACATACCTAATGTTTTTGGTCTAGTAAACATTAAGACACATCTAAACAAATTAAAACGTACTAATGTACAAAACATAGTGAGTAAAAAGTCAATTGTGTTTTGTCGTATAAATAATTAATTTTTTTGTTCCACTTTTAGCTGTGAAATTTGGTTAGAAATCTATCAACATTCAACAGCTAATCCAGCTAATATATTCTATCAAAAAAATAATGTTAAGTTGTATGGAAAACATTTTGAGAAAAATATKTTTCTTAATGATTTGGAGAACAGGTTACACCCACACAATTTTTAGGTATTTATGAACTAATACAACATTCGACAGCAATAACTTTTAATCACCTTTTATTAATGTTCATATAGAAAAGATAATCGTGATGTGAATATGTCTTCAGAGCCAATGACTAGTGATAAGGTTGGGAGTTTTAACAATTCAATTAAAACATTGTTTTGTTGCTCAAATATTCAACTATATATACTGATGCTCCTGGTAAATATATTTTTTAAATTTGTTTTTGTTGCTAACTTTATACATTTAGGTTGTTCGAAATCATACTTAACTTAAAGTAAAGTAATACCTAATGAAATACTTGATCTTCCATTACCTGGTTCACCTGGTAAGATAATATAATTTTTATAKAAATCAATTTATAATTATTATTTAATATAATATTTTTAGATTTTATCTAAGATACATGACAATATTGACTATCTTTTTCTCCTGGGACATCATCATCATAAGCCTATTGTGCCTTAAGCATAAACAGTTTGAATTAGTAAGTATAGATATTGTAATAATTAATAGTGTATTAATTTTATTGATTTCTAGTTATAAGCATTGATATATATGTTTCCACTCAACAATATGGCTTTGGAAAATGTATTTGAAAATAAACTCACAGCCAACGCTGCATGCCATTCATTTGAGCAGTAGGTATCCTCTACAAAAAATTGTATGTGATTTTTTAATTGATTTATTTTCTATGATTAGATAAAATTAATTCAGGAAAGGACTGAGCCTGTCTAAGCCTACTGACCTATAATTAGAGGAGGCCCCACATTAAGAAAAATGTATRGGTACGATTAGTATTTTCTCTCAAACACAGCTGTGGAAAGTAATAAATTATTTAATGGATATCTATTGCTTTTATTTATAAGTGAATTCTGTACCCATAGAATATCTTTTTCAAAATTTAAATTTAAAACAAACCTGTTTTTAATTTTGCTCTGCTATGATTTATAGATATCCTAGTTCTTAATTTGTAAATTAGTATTTATAGTTCAAATCAAACTCTTATTCCCAAATTTATTATTGTTATTATGATTTTCCACATTTCAATTCTTAATAATGGTGACATTTTATTAAAATCAATAATAATTTTGAATGTGTTAAATAATATATAATTTTAACATTTTATGATTTGGTGATTTTAAGTCGATACAATATTGAGTATAGCATCATCCCTGGAAAATCACTCTAGAGTATAGAATATAGATGAATACAATGTTCTTAATATAATTAACCTTTTGGGCTTTTTGTGTGATTTCAGATTGTATATAATTGAAAACTTATSAAGAAAACAGAGCCTRCCAAATTTTTGAATACGTATTCAATATTCATAAATAACTTTAATAGTTACTATATTATTGGTTTATGCCGTTTATGAATATGGTATGGAGTGAAATGTCATGTACTAACAACTTGGGATAAAAAGCTACAATGAAGATGCAACTTCTTACTTCTACAATTAATTGATTGTTTATATGAATATCTTTATATATATATAGTAAGTAATTCTTCTCATACATTAAATATAAATTAACTACCTAAGTAAAACACAAAATGCCGTCCCACTTTGAATCAGACTGCGGACTGTCAATTATGCATGAATAAATTAAATTAAAAGTCAGATAATATATTAAATGCATAACTRGTGTGGTTACAAATTGTGTTTTGAAGCTATGTCTGATGATTATGATAATAATACATGCAAATTACTGTTTGCGTTTAACTTTATATTACAAGGCACTGGTTTCAAATTAGTTTTGTTACAGTTGTCCTTGGTTTAAAACAAAAAAAWTATTTTCCAAACATAGCAGCTATTATTGATATAATAATAAATCATAATAGAACAATAAACTTGTTCACCTATTTAAACTCAATATTTAATATTTCTATATATTGTTTTAGTTTCATAATTTCTGACAAAGAAAACAGTAGAAATTATTTATTTCATAATTATCAATTCTACTCGTATCTTTTTTAGGAATGCAATTTATTGCTATCCAGCGGCAACACACCGAACACGACACCCAT